CTTGAGCCCAGGAGTTGGAGGTTGCTGTGAGCGTGATGCCATGGCACTCTACCCAGGGGGATAGCTTGAGGCTCCGTCTCAAAAAAAAAAAGAAAGAAAGATATGGGCGGCACCTGTGGCTCAGTGGGTAGGGCATCAGTCCCATATACCAAGGGTGGGGGGGGGTTTCAAACCCAGCGCCAGCCAAACTGCAACAAAAAATAGCCAGGCATTGCGGCGGGCACCTGTGGTCCCAGCTACTCGGGAGGCTGAGGCAAGAAAATCACCTAAGCCCAGAAGTTGGAGGTTGCTGTGAGCTGTGTGACACCACAGCACTCTACCAAGGGCAATAAAGTGAAACTCTGTCTCTACAAAAAAAAAAAAAAAAAGAAATTAAAATACTTTTGGGGAATAATAACACAGTATTGAAGTTGTATTTGTTGTGATGGTACTTACTAAATACATATTATACTTGAGAACCACACAAGAAATAGCATCATTTGTATAAACATTGACATAAAAGTGAATACTTAATCATAAGCTGATTATTCTTGTCTGATTGTTGAGTACTATTACCTGGAACATTTCATTGACGCTATCAGTTATTTAGTGTCCAGTTTGCAGTATTCTTTTTCAGAAATTCCTTAACTGCTAATATACTCTGAAAATTAAAATTAATTGAATGCTTATACTTCTGGAATTTAATTTGGAGAGTTAATGAAGTGAGAAGGCTTTATTAACTGTAAAGCTGATGGAACATGAAGATTAAAGGCAATCTGAATATCCCAGAAAGGCTTAGTAACATTTCATGTGTATTTCTTTTTCCTACAGTGACTACGTTGCAGCTAAAGGAGGAGTTGCTTGATGGAGAGGATTATAATTTCCTCCAAGGAGCATCTGATCAGGAAAGCAATGGCTCTGCCAACTTCTACATCAAACAAGAGCCATGAATTGGCTCAGAAACTGAGGGTGGGAGGGGAAGGATTTTACACAGGACTGATTTATAATCAATCCAGCTGGACGCGGGGCTATTCTACTGGGACATTTTGCTAAACATAGAAAATTTCAGTTCCAGATTTTTCAGGTGGGTGGGGAAACTATTTTAGTCGGGGTGGGGGGAAAATTTTTCAATTTATAAAGATGGACAATTTTTGTGTTGTATTTGAAGCTTTTGAAAGAATTTTGTAATATTTTCCAAGTTTGGATTTATGTGCATTGTTAACAAGAACTGAAATTCTAACTTTTTTGGTAAGATTAAAGTTTAGGTAGCAGGATTGAAGGAAATGATTTCAGAAGGATATAGTTGTAAATGCAAATGAACTGTCATGACAAATGAACCTTTTTGGTACCTGTTGGGAGATTTGGGGATTTTAAAAGTTAGGCCAGTCACATCTCCAGCTTCCTTTGCTGCAGAAATATGCAACTGAACCCCTCATGGAGGGTTCATCACCACATAGATCATGGAAAGGGTTATTAATTCTGCTTGTTGGCATTTTATTGCACCCCATTTTTAATGTGTGTACAGAAATGTTTTTCATTTTGTGAAAAGCTATTTGGAGTTCTGTATGAAACTGGAGGAACTCTAGATACTTTTATATGTTCTTTAATTAAAAAACGATTAAAATTATCCTAACACTAAAGTGTTAAACTGGAATGGTTGACAAGATATACAGGATCTCGGTCTACATATTGAGGGGTTGGAGAAAATGCAATATTGTCTTTATTTTCCTTACTAAAAGAATACCCCACCAAAGGGATTCTGATCAGTTCTTTACCATTTCCCTCCGTCTGTGAGATAACTTGGTATAACCACACCCCAAAACAGATGTTCTATATTGACAGGCAAATCAAATTGAGAGCCAAAATAAGTTCATATTTCAAAATCATTCCAGCACTGCTTTTATCTATCCTTGATTTGTGAGAAAACTAATTTCAAAGAAAATTTAATTTTCTGAAAATTCCATATGTATTATTAATTTTCTTTAATTGTACTCAGAATTTATTTTAACAGTAACCAATTTGGACCATTTTGAACATTCCCTGTTTTAAAATTCACATGGCTTCTTTTAAAAAAAAATGGATACAAGGGTAAATTGGCGAAAAGTTTGCTCTCTGCATTTTCTGACTTTCTACTGAGTTGTGACTGAATGAGAGAGCTCTAGCGTTTACCAGTGAGGTTCATAAACTAAACTCTCAGGAATTAATTGCATCTGTTCTAGAAGTGCTTCTGGGTCTTAGCCTGGCCTTTTCAGAGTGGTAATATTGACCATCTCCTCTGGAATATAGGTAGGGCTAATTAGAAATTAATCAAAATGATTAACCTCTACAGTCCTTCAGCCTATGGAATGCTTTAAAACATGTTAATGGAAAGCCCCAGGAGACCATTTTAGGTAAGATTTTTGTTTGAATTTTTAAATGCATAGAACGTTAAAAACCAGCAATTTATTTTCTAAAATGTTGCTCTACTTTTGGGAATAATAGCATTGGTAATACGCACAGGTTTACCTCATTCTATGCAAGAAGGGTTACTAACATAAGGTTTTGTAGTAGCTACTGGAAGTAAAATTTATTACTTTATAGTATAAGAATGTATGGAATCGCATGTCACCATTTCTTAGTACTGACTCTTTGGGGGCATAAACGCAAATCACATCAACGCAAGTTGATTCTCATGTGTCAAATATATGTGAATTCAACTGTTAAATTACTGGATATTTATCTTAAACAAAATTGCTGAGAGGGACCTACTGTAAATCTGACATCTTCACACTTCCCAAATCTTTCACTTTGAAGAATCTTCCCATAAACTTAAAAGCCTAGAAGCGTTCCAAAGCAAAGGTTACAGCAGTTTTTATTCTCAGGCTCAGTGAATTAAACCCAGGACTCTGATTCTACAGTATGGGCACAAAAAAACCCTGTTACATGGTGTACTCTACCAGTCCCCTGGGTTTAGGGGCTCTATGGGGAACTGAATAAACCAGGTGAGATATGATTTGGAGCCAGTCAGTCTTGGTAATTAGTTCTGTGAAATGCTCATTTGTAGCCAGGTTTTATAAGCTTCCAATTCTACAACAAAACCAGGCTCTGAGTGTCCTGCCTAGTCATGAAGTGTTTCTTGTCTTGATCTCGTGACCAACACTTAAAAGTTGGTAAGGACTGCCTACAGTCTGAACACAATCTGAAGCCCTCTTTGTTGTTCAAACTCTAACTCCTGCTGATGAACAGAGAATACATTAATGCAGGGGAGATCTATGTCTTAGCCATAACTCAAGTTGTACAACTCAATAGCCCCATTCTCTTTTATGGTTCCAAATGTACTGCTGACCTTGGGTTTGTTTTTGTTTTTTTCCTGTTAGGATTATTTGGGGACTTTTGGTAGTTTAAACTCTTTAACCCTTTCCTTGCTGTGTATGAGGAAAGCTAAAGCTGTTATCAACTTCTTATTCTACGGATACTAACACGGGTTTTCAGTGTTTGTTTGTTTTTATTATTAATTTTGCGTGATGTGAATACCCTCTCCCATCAATATTTGTATTATGGTGCTATATATTAGTAATGATCCTTTAATATTGGGAAGGGATTTTAAAAATACTGTGATTAAACTGGGTTTCTTCCTTTGATTTTCATATTTTAAATAAAGCCACAGTCATTTATACAAAAGAAAAGTATCTGTCCCTGGGCAAATCTTTTGAGGACAGAGGTCAAAGTAAACTGCATAAGGTTTTTACATCATTTCTGTATGTATTTGATATATAGATCAATATCTGTATAAATTTAATCTTTTATTTTCTTGGTAACTTGTGAGCATTGAGAAAGTGTTTGAAACTTTCTCAAGAAGTGTATATATAATGGCGTGAAAAATTCCTTCGAAGAAATTTATGTTCCTTTCATTTTTACCAAATCCGCAAATTTTCAGCATGGATGTGAAAAGCATTAAAATTATAACTTTGTGTACAAGATGAAAATAATTCACTAAATTTGCCCTTTTTTACACAAAATAAAATGTTAAA